GCTCACGGATGATGTGCCTCCTAGCGGCAGGGTCTTCTGTGCAGCCTCCCAGGGATCAATATACCAGTTAGTCAAAACACATGGGTCCTTTGGAACCAGTGATAGTATTTGCCACCAGTGAGTGTGATCTGTGTAGTAGATTTTTAAAATGTAGTCCTGGAATTCTATTGGGTTGAAATCCACTTAACTTTCTATTTGAATACTTCCAAGCTTTCTAATTATGTCATCATGCGTTTATGATTGTTAAGAAGTCAATTTTAAACTAACCACTCTTCAATAACCCTTTTCATGAATATTTTTACCCCATATATAAAATTTAGGGTAAAAAAGATCAAAGAGTGTAGAAAAATATAATAAATTGAAGGGAAGAATAATTTTTTTTTTGTCTTTTTCCGAGATCGGCCGCACGGCGCTCAGCCAGTGAGTGTACCGGCCATCCCTATATAGGATCCGAACCCGCGGTGGGAGCGCTGCTGCGCTCCCAGCGCCGCACTCTCCCGAGTGTGCCACGGGCTCGGCCCAGGAAGAATAATTTTGAAACCCACAATTTACCTTGATCTTCAAGTTTTTTAAGGTTTAGGACATTTATTAGTATTTTTTAAAGCATTTTAAGAATTTTTATGAACCCTCTTTCAGCATATCTGTTTCTACTGGGGTGAGATCAAGTTCCTTTATTGTGAGCACTCAGTAGGTGCTCAATAAATGCTTATTGCAAGAATGAATAACTACAAAGAGATATTTAGGCTCCTTTTTTTTCACTATAAGAGGTAAAGTTTTATGTAGTGTTATTTTTCCCCATGACATTTACGTAATAAAAAGTTCAGTATGAGAATTAATTTAAAATAATACTATAAGAATGGTACATTTAAGGGTAGAAATTTAAAGAATTAAAAAAAAAAGCTAAGGTGTGCCCACGAAATTTCTAATAATAGCATGCTTGACCAGGAAAATGGATATGAATATTCATGAACGAATTTCAGATGAAAGGAAATTTTCAATGTAAGCCATGCAAGTTTAAATTAACATAAAGAAAACACAATTATTTGTAAAAACAACCATATACATTAAGAGAAATAATAACTCTCTTTAAATTTGCATTTTCAATACTGTCTGTGCAAAATTGCTTGTAGTGTCCTCAAATGGGGTCTGTGGCCAGATGCGTAGAAAACATCCCCTCAACTGGTATACAGTGAAGCAGCATGGCCTGCCATTTCCTTTAACTAGATGGAGTCTGGCAAGGTCACGGCCGTGCTTTCGAGCAACTGGCCTGGATATGTGAAACCTGCAGAATGGGCAGTAGTAGCTGGAATGCATCCTGCACATACGTCGTGCTATTGCAGCCCTGCAAGAGGGGGAAAATGTGGTTGAAGGGTTATTTTCAGAGTTCAATCTCAACAATTCTTCCAATTTGATAATGTTCCCTCTCCTCAAATTCCACAATATTGGATTGTATTTTTCTTGTAATGTTGGTGTTTAAAACAAATGTAAACACATTCTTTTGGATGGAGTGTATCCTACTTGCAATTATACTGACAGAGGGAAGAATTCACTCCAAATGAGGCAAATTGTTTCCATGGGTTTTTAGGGTACATCAGCGTGTGTATATTCATGACCCAATATGCCTAGTCTTTTCTATCCTTTTCATAGATCAACCCTACTGCCCTGGAATAATACAAAAGTATGAAGGAGGACAGTTCGTCCTAACCTATAGATGAATAAGCAAGAATGGTCTCCATGAAGCTAACTGGAGATATTACTGTGCAATTATTCACGGCAAATCCTTGAGCACTGTCATCCTTCCATGCACGTGGGTACCTTCTGATTGTTTTGGATAGCTGATATTACTATTCATGTTCTGTGGTGCACTAACAAACAGTATTAGACAGAGAGGCAATTTAAAGGCGAGGGTAATGAAAACACATGAAAGCTTCCACTGGAGAAATGAGAAAATATTTGACCTCATATTCTTCATGGTTGACATGGTAAATTAATCTGCTAATGCCTTCTGGGTGGCCAGAGAACACATATTCTTGTACTATATTCTGCCTTTTACTGCTAGGATTTCCTCTAGGCTGTGTCTATCCCTCCAGGACCTGCCCCAACAGCTCCTGCCCTCTCTCGACTCTGTTCCACTGTGTGGCTAGATTCTGAACAATAACCCTCAGAGCCACGACTTTGTTATTTTTGTACCTTGGTAATTTTCCTGAACAGCAAGGCACAATTCCCAAAAACGTTGATATAAATATACAGGTAGCCCTCTTGGAATTTTATAATTTCCAAATTTTGCAACTGACAGCTACTTCAGAAAGCAAAAAACTACTGTATGAGTACATGTGTTTTCCATGTTCAAACTTAGCTTGTTATTAACACCTGTGGCTTCAGCTGAGTGCCCTGTGGCTACAGATGTGCCCATTTCTTATAGTTTGCCTCCTATTGGAAGATTTTCCTCCAGCAACCACAAGTAGAACACAGTGCCTATGACCCAAGAATGAGAAAGCTTCCCGGTCCTCTTCTCTCTCATATCACTGTTTCTGGCAATGCCACGGCAGTGTTAGGGCAGCATCATATCTGTGCAACTGATGCTACAAAGTCCTGGTGAGTGGACAGGCCACAGAGTGAGCCATCACAGAGAATGGTGCCTTTGTCACTGAATGGGCATAGGCTAAACATTCTACTTGTCATTTTTGCCAGCCTGGAACTTAGACCCCGCTAAACCAAAGGTTACTGTGCATGGAGGAAAGTGCCCATTTTTACCAAAATCGCCACTGAGCAATAATACCTCATTGCAGCCAATAACAATAGTGTTAAATCTAGTGTCAATCTTGGCAGCAGAGATCAGCTTCTGCCGGAGGAATCAGTGACAGAAATAACGTGCAATCTCGGCGTTTCTTTTTATAATCAGGAATTCTTGAAAATTAGGTATTGTTGCTTCACCAGAGGGTTTACAGCTGGTTGAGCTACACAAATATACTCAAAAAAGGCTGTTGATGATAAGATTTAGAACTGCAATAACACTTGCTGCCTGGGAGAAAGACACACACACAAAAATGTAGCTCTAACATTTGCTCTGATTCGGGAGCACTTTCTCTCTGGGGGCTGCTTACCTCTAATAATACGCTATTGATCATGGGGGTAAGGACCTCGGCCTTCTTGTTGCTCTGTGGAATCAAAAGTATGAAGTCGACAGATTAGGTGCTCATACTACAAGGCTTGCTACATAAAATGTAATGCACTGGCTTTGTTAAGGGATCTCTCAGAGAGCAAGGGGAGGAGAAGTGAAATGCTTACCACAGACCAGGCTTTGTATTTGGTGCTTCACCTACATGATCTCATTTAATATTGAAAGAGATTCTAGGAGGCAGGATGAGAACCCCAATTTAAAGAAGAGAAAATAGGGATCAAAAAGGCTGAGCAACTTCTTTAAGGTCACACAGCCTTAAAATGGAAACTCAGACCTTTTTAACTACAGTTTGTAGCAGGTCTGGTAATAGGGTGAGGTGAGTGAGGCCGAGTTGTGCAAGTGCAGA